TCTCGTGCAGGAACAGCGTGCTCTGAAAGCCTCAACATGGAAGACGAAAAGACATTGGAAATGGTGATGCGTGAATCTTGGTCGTGGATTGGTGCAAGATCGACCGAGACTATCACGCCCTTGCAGGGGGTACATTCCTCCCTGGCGGTTGCAATTGGCATCTTGGTGCTCTCACCCTTGAGGCCAAGTGCCTCGGTAGCTTCGCTAAGCATCAAGGAGAAGTTGGCAGCATCGTCCAACAAGCAGTACGTCTCCAGCTGTCGACCGTTGGCATAGAGCATGACTGGCAAAATCTTCATGCTGACGTCAGGTAGCCAAGGGTTTCCATCCCCGTAAAAGACAGACAGGTTTGGGTCGAAGGAGGAATAGTACACTCCATACCCTGGTTGCTCCATCAGATCATGGAGAACGGTCAGGTGCATCTTGTCGCATCGGCGACAAGGCTTGCGTAGGTCGCACTCCTTTCCGTTTTTGTGCAGGCGTGCACACTGCCAGCAGCGTTTGTCAGCCTTAATCCACTTCATGCGCTGTTCCATCGTGAGATCGCTGAATTTGTCGCATCGAGAGAGCCAGTGTTCTTCCCGGCAGTGGGGACAACTCTTCCGGAAGGGTTTCTTGCCATCACTTCGGGTAGCCTTATAGGCAGATGCGCCCTTTGGCGGATTGCTGGTAGTCTTTCCAGCCAGTTCCATGTGGTAGGCAGCTGCACCTTTTCTGCGGCGGTCCCGGTTGGTTGGGGGGAGTTCAACCTTAATACTCTCGCTGAGCTGCACCTTCTTTCTGGCTATGGCCGCCGTGTCTTGCAGCCACATGTTGATGTCAAGCAGAGAAAAGTTGTTGACATTTCTGGCCTTCATAGCCTTCAAAAAGGCCGTCTGATGGGTATGTGACAGGCGACTGTACAGGATGCAAGCTGTAGAGTTGGCATTCAGTTCCGCCTGGCCTTCCGGTGCACTCTTGAGTTGCGTGACCAACGCTGACACCGCTGCTGCAAACTCTACCATCCCCTTAGAGTCACTGGCTGTCAGTCTCGGCCATGACGTAATCTGGTCAATCTTGGCACGTATTAGGACACCAATATCACCATAAAGCTTCTTGAGGGTGGACATGGCCTTAGTGAAGGGGCTACCATCATGCTCAAGCCCGAGGACATCCTTCTTGGGTTGACCACTTAACTTCGACCTGACGATGAAGTATTTTTGTAGCTCGCTGAGGTGGACTAAGGGCTTGATGCAGCCATCTATCATTGCCTCAAAACAACGAAACTCTGCTGGGTCGCCTCCCCCGAAGTTGGGAACCTCCATGTTTATACCTCCGGCTGAGGCTGCCAGCATGGAGCTTAACATCATTTGGCTTGAGGAATTGAAAGTAGGCGGTTCGGGAAAATCAGAAACCCTAGCAGTAGAGGCAGAAACCTGAGTAGGAGTGGGGTTTGTCCCCAAAGTGGGAGAAGTTTCATGGTAAAGATTAGGAATACCAGCGTGGTACGGTGCCATACTTGGCTGAAAGGCAGTGAAGTTGTGATCAGGTACCAAGCTGCCTGGAATCATGCGGCACTGAGCAGAGGGCTCAGACCACGCGAGCGCGGAACTCGCGGCAGTTTGCGTGTGACCTGCTTTCGCGAGGGGGCTCGCGAGAGGGCGTGCATGGCTCGCGGAAAGGTGCGTTTGCCTCGCGACGGGATGCGCGAAACTCGCGGCCGGTTGCGCGAATTGCGCGAAGCTTGCGGTTGGTTGCGCGAAGCTCGTGACGGATTGAGCGAAGGTCGCGACGGGTTGCACGAGACTTGCGACTGGTTGCGCGAAGCTCGCAACGGGTTGCACGAGACTTGCGACTGGTTGCGCGAAGCTCGCGACGGGTTGCACGAGACTTGTGCCTGGTTGCGCGAAGCTCGTGGCTGGTTGCGTGATTTGCGCGAAGCTCGCGACGGGTTGCGCGTAGCTCGCGGCTTGTTGCGTGATTTGCGCGAAGCTCGCGACGGGTTGCGCGTAGCTCGCGGCTTGTTGCGCGAGACTCGCGACTGGTTGCGCGAAGCTCGCGGCTGGTGGGGGGAGACTTTCGACTGGTTGCGCGAAGCTCGCGTCTGGTTGCGCGAAGTTCGCAACAGGTTGCGAGTAGTTCGCGGCTTGGTGCACGCATTTTGGGCTTAACTGTACCAGACTCGCAGCTGATGAGTGTGCAGCAGGTAGGCCTATTGGATTTATGGCCTGGAGCGCCGCCGGGTTTTCCGCTACCGGCAAGCTCGGAACACTGGTGGAGGGTGAAATTACAGAATGGCTTACAACACTAGTAATATTTGGCAAATCATGTGATTGTGAATACAAAGGTGTGTCACTCATGCTAGTTTGTACAAATTCGGATTCTACCCTAGCCAGATTAAAATTGAGTTCAGCAGTTTGTAATTGTCTCTCGAGCTCAATCTGTCGAGCAAACTGTTCCTTTTCCTTCAGGATGCGGCTTTCTTCATGTTCGGCGACCAGCCGTGCCTGGGCCAACTCCATTTGTCTTTCACGCAGTGCCAGCTCCTCTCTTGTTCGCTGTGCTGCCAGTAGTCGCTCGTCCAACTCTTTGCTCTGGGCCATCGTGGCTCTTTCCAGCTCGAGTCGTCGCTTGGCGGCTTCATACTCCTGCTGCTTTTCCACAGCACGCATGCGAACAGACGAGTGGCTACTACTGCGGCTTCGCTCTGATGCAATTGAGCTGCATGTAGAGTGCTCTGACTGAAGTATTGTAGACTCAGCTATTGCGGGTAGTTTGTCCGTTGATTCTGAAGGACCCTCAGTGGGTGGTTTTGGAGCTGTTCCTCTAGGTCTGAGGACTCGTTTTTCTACGTTGCCGTCCATTTTGTTACTGGTTTTTATTTGTATGCCCTTTTGTGCTCAAGCTTGATTCCTATCACGTCAGGGTCACCATTTGTAAAGGAAAAATAAGGACACAAGGGGAGTCCTTAGATTGTGTGTTCTGTGAGCACTGGCTGGGCAGGCGGGATTAATCCTGTTTTATTTCAAATTCAAATGTCCCATCATCCTCAGTGGAAGACAAGTGGGGAAAATTAGGCCGGTGGAGAGACTGATCATGGTGGAGATCGTTCTGGAAGATACAATAAGGGTAATCATAAATTGAGGGCAAACTATTCAACATCAAAATCGTCATGGTAATAAACTGGAAGAATAGGAGCCTATTTCCGACACCTCGTGTGGCGTGGCCTATTTTCGCCCATCCCAAACAATTAAAATCTTTACATATGTGGATTCAAACAGTGCAATCAATAACTAGGGATCAATAACTGGGAAAATCACAGGCTTTACAGTTAACAATAAACATGAAACGGGGTTTAATCTGGAAATAATCTTGCTCACCATCCGTAACCAGCCCAATGCCCTCCGATTCCCGCGGTTGCTATGTCGGTTTGCTGCATTAGTCCGCATGGTGGCGCTATTGAAATATTAAAGTCGCAACAGGGGCCTTATACAGATTCTCATGTTGAGAAGCCATGGTGAGAAATTAAGACGCAACAAATGAATACAGGTACGCCGTATCTGCTCGAGAAAATTTGTAACATGTTTCAACACGCACGTACATAGTTCCAACTGCTTTCTAGAACATCAAACAGTAACAAACTTTTTCTCTTTCAATTTTTCAATAATTACCGCCCCACAGCGTATAATGAGGTTCATGGCCTAGCTGTGTGCATGTGATGATTCCATCACCTGATCATCTCATGAGCTCCGGTACAGTGAAGCATTCCTGTTTTAATTGCATTCCAGAGTATTAGCTTTCACCGGAGAAGGCCACTGGGATTGAGGGGGAAAAAGCGCGCCAACCGACTTTCATTAACGCGTCAAAAGTCCATGCATCACCTTGTATCCTTTGGCATCAGCTGCAATAACCACGGCCATATTGGATAACAACTCTCCAATGACCTATTAATGCCGCATTCGGAGTTACCCGGGTGTTACTCGGGAGGTCTCCTGGGCACATCTGACTCCCATATGAATAATTAAGGACACCCAAATTGACCACCTTGTGTTATGATTTAGCCTTGTTATGTTTGTATTCAGAGCCCCTCGCGGGCGTAAGCTTACATTTTATAAGCTGTTAATTTATAAGCAGGGACGGAGGTGAAGATACATGCATTATCCCAGTGTTTACTTTTTCTTGGCACCTTGACAAAAAAAGTCTGGATCACCTATTTATAAAGAAATTTATCCCCCTCCTAGCATCTGCAGTGAAGTAACACTCGTGCACAACACTATTATTCATGAGAAGAGATGATTGAATTGGCCCAAATCAACTCATGTTGTTTGTCCCAAGATATCTGGAACTTTCCACCCACGGACACCGCAGAATCGTGTAAAAACCTGAGGCAGTTCGCTTTTATTAATATAAAGAAAATCTCTAGGGACTAAATAGGCGGTATGGTGCAGTTTCCAAGGTTCTTGTCAGACATAATCATGTTATCCATCATGTTGCAAAATGGGGTACGTGACTGTGGGTCCAAATTGCGCAGAGTCGGACAAACAGTTAGATTTGACAAGATCTATATCGTCAAAAAATTACAATGACTCATGTTGGGACCTATATATATTGATATATTAAAGGTACCGTAGCTAATCTGATCCATATCAACGAAAATTGCTCTTGATAGATATGTTATACCGATACTGGTAATATAAACCCCCGAATGTGCATCCGATGTGGAATACATAATTCAGAACGTATACAGTGAACCACTGTCGTACGCTTAGAAAGTAAAAGTCATTATCGACTCTGGAGGGCGCTTCAGGGTACTTCTTACACCTGGATAAATTCGAAACTTAAGTACATTTGTATCCCTTTTCTGCTACAAATCAACAGATCAGCTGAGCAAGTCGCTAACACGACCCAAACAACCTGACTGTAACATATTGGATACACATCATGGGCGGTGTCTGTTTTAGACTGACAAGATTCGATACTTTTCATTATTTACAACAAGAATGTTTGATTTTTGTACTCACTCTGATAATACTGGAAAGAATCGTCCTCGTCAGGCTCAAACGGGTGGTCCGGTTCACGGAAGGAGTGCAGCCCAAAATCGGTGATCTTGACCACAAAGCGATTGTCGACCACACAATTCGAGGACTTGAGGTTCCCATGTGTTTGTATCACGCTGTTGTGGAGATAATACATGCCCTAAAAGAAAAAAACCCAAAATATTTCGGTGAAACCTTCGTTAGGTGCAATTGGTGCCTTCACGGGAGATGTGCGCCCTGGAATGGCATAAAAATGTATATAATCTTCAGTTCCCCAAATTAATTATGACTTACTACAGAACGGGAACAATAATGCGGGGAAGGTAAGACAAATGAATACTACATAGGGGCAAAAGCAGGAAGTTTGAACAAGAAATGACTGTTATTGACAATTATTTGGCTTATTCATGGCTGCGATTAATTTGGCCTTTATTCCAACATCACTCACAATTTACACCGTGTGTTCATTTCTTTAACAAACACTCTTACACTTAATCATCTGAAATATTTCTCTAGGATCGGATCTGTCCTAACAGCGGACATTGTGCGATATATCACACATATTTTAGGCAATAAGACATTTCTTCCACCAACCTACAGAATTTACTGGAGTGTTGACGTTTTTACACTGAAATCGAAAGAGGCATGTGCTTTCCCAGGGCGAAGAGAAATGTCTCGTAAATTTGTGACCCGACCACATCCAAATAAAACAAGACAGTGAAAATGCATGCAAGTACTTAACTCCTTGCTGAAGGTTTACTAAAAGTAGTTTTACGTTTAAAGCTTAAAGGTATGCGAGATGGAATTCTCTTGGACTGGATTCTTTAAATTAACTTGGGTATGCGATTGACCTTCAATGTTTCACCATAAACATAAAAATGGCATTTTCACAATCTTAAGCAATCAGTGATTCACATTAAACAGAAGCCTCAGTCCATCAGTGTTTCAGTACTAAAGGGTTTTGATTTTAAACTGTTGCACTAAACTGTTTTGCTGAGATCGCTTATTTCTGTGTTTTTTGGGGGGTCCACTCTACACCTAGGTTTGGGCCCTTGGATGTAATGTTGGCAGCAGGTACAATAATGGAATACAGTACACATTAATAAGAAGGAAAAATGCGCCATATTATATACAAATTATGTATACATGTATACATGTATGGAATGCACAGGCATGAACTTCTCCTCCCAAAAAGACTTAGTGCAAAATTCAGTTTATTGTTCCTTGAGTGGAATATAGATATGTGGCACACGAACAAACAAGATTTGGTTCGCATGCATAACAACTGACGAAGACGATCAACTTCACTATTTCACAAAAATTGTACAGTGTACTTCCAAAGAATTCTAAATAAACGCGTTTTGGAAGTACATGTACCTGCAAAAGTACATGCACCTTGTATCATGTGGATCAGTAAAGACTACCGACCCGAGCCGAAATGTTTCAGTGGTCGAAAAAAAGGCCCGACCAGAGAAATCATCGCCCGTGTTGATGAAATGCATAAGTTGAGGCTCACCTGAGCTATGCATGCCGAGGCGATGTGACAGGTTTACCCATGCACTCAAGATTAATATGAAAGAAAAACACGACTTCATGCGCATCCAACACTTTTTTTTATCAAGTCATGGGCCGGGTACTCAAAAGTGCCCGACCAACGTGGCTCGATTTGTACCCCAGTAGCAATTATGTTTTTTTTCCTGCAACCAATAAAAGTCATTGACCTGAATGCGAATGCGTCAGTTGTTGGTGGAATGTGGTCTCGGACTTATACTTCCTTTAAAGAAAGCCCCCAGAGCCATACATCGGAAACTAAAGGTGAAGTTTATTTCACTGACGAAAATAGGGCTTGAATTATAATTAAAACACGATTAAATAGAAAACAGAAATTAGGTTTCTAATTTCTCGTACCCACAGCATCCAGTATGATCAAAATAAAGCCCAACCCACTAGGCCACGATATTGCTTCGATCTCCGCTCAAAATCTAAACCCTATAAAGTCATCCCAATTCACGTGACACAGATTTCAATCACATGATAATGATTCAGGCAAGCGCATCATGGTTTATGACGATAACTGGTTGCAGAGGAAAAATTACCCTAGGCATTCAGCTATTCACCCGCGGATGACCCCCCCCCCCCTAAAAAAAGCTCGGAAGCTGCGGGCCAACGAATTCGTGTTCATGCATGAGTCACGTGATTGTGCCATGTAAGTAGTAGTGTTCTCAGTAAAAATAACCCTAACTAACTAACGGACAAACAGAGAGACACAGGATGATTTGTTGAGCTGCTATCCCGCAGCTAAAAAAAGGCTAAGTAACAATTACAGAACTGGGATTGGCATGTCTCTGCAAACCCCTCCAACGGCTCAATTTTTTTCAAGGAAATTAAATAGTTAAATCTCCAGTTCGTCAGGATCACTACGTCACGTACTCCAGGAGTACGTGACGTAGTGATTTTACAAGAGGGGGTGCACAAAGGATAATAGCACAATAAGTCTACCTGATTGACAAAAACCAATTGGGGAGAAAAGTAAAAACACATGTTTCGAAAACGATTCGGGAAACTGTAATTCTTCTCATATGAAAATATAATCTTCGTGGCTGCATTAACTACATGATTCGAAGCAATGCACTGGATGCAGTAATCAGCACACGCTAATACAGCATGGGAATCTCCTCCGGCGATTATTAGTTTTACTTAATGGCGCCCTCAACGGCAATAAACAGAGCGGAATGGAAACCGCTGCACCTGAGAAAGCCGCGTTATGTACAGTGACTTGATTAAATACTCGATCTGTTAACTTCCGTACTCTGGTAACACCTCCACCCTAACAGCTTGTCTCGCTGGAGACATTCAAAGTACCCTACTGATGCCTAGAGCCACTCCAATGCTTAGTTAGGTGATCAAATCGGCCATACAATGAATTATTCATATTTCTCAAGTTTCCTTTTGCTGCCGGCCTTAAATTTACTTGTTCTATTTTTGTGTCGTAAAAAAATTACAAGAGTCGAAATGACCTGGAGGCGCGAGTAAATTTTAATCAAGTTGTTGTCCGTTTTGGAAGCAGCTAGATTTTTTTCGAACCCTTGAGTGCTTGCTCTTCTTAAGACAGAATTTCGAAACATTTGGTCATTTCGGCAAGAAGGGATTAACAAGAAATATTCAAAGGTTAAGGGCAGGATTTAAAGTACAGAGTCCATTCAACACAAGTTGTTGTTTCCTCACCTTGACTATGTCATACAATAGGGAATACTTGAACATGTCATCCAACTCGATGGAGTCATTTTCCAAAATATCCTGGAAGGAAAAAGGAAAGAAAATAACGCAACAATTAGCAACAACTTCGAAATCAATTTTAACTGAAGCAAAACTAGAACAAAAACGCGAACTCTTTATAAACTAGTTAGTTTTAAAGGTAATACTGTAGTAATATAGTTAGAAATATAAACAGAAGGATCTGTTGAATGTAACATACGGTATTACAAGTCTGAAACGGTGTTCGTAAAACGATCCATAATTTGGTTTTCTATCAGATCACATAAAGACGTCAGTGATATTAAATTATTAAAAGGTTAAAACCTCAAATTTCATCTGCCGGTTTGGCCATAGATCGAATAAGTGACCTTGCTTTTTGATTTATTAATGATTTGAGTTCCCAAAAGTATTGATCCGAAATGAGTAAATATTGATAATGGTCAAGACCACTTCGAACGTGTGTTCAATCGATAGGAGAGCGCGTGTTGAATTATTAAAAGCCGTTTAGTGACAATCCGGTCCCGAGAGGGCGTATTTCATAGATTCCATTCAGATGACGTTTATGTCTGTACATGTAGTATACACAGCTGCTTTAGGAACTCAACTACTTACATGACTTATAGTAAAGTAAACTAAACCTTTATATTACATGTATATGACCTATACACGGTCTCATATCTCATACATTAACGTTTTAATCAAATCCTGCATACATTATATACAGGGCATGTGTTTGTCTGCTACCATTTGTGGCAATCCTTTCTTTTCCTTATAAATGGAATTCGCACAAAAACGTTGGTGTTTTTTTTTTTTTAACAAACATCTCAAATCACCCCAAACATTTCAAGTAAATCGATTTTCATTGATACAGAACCAAACCATCGTAACGGTGCCCGAAGGTGGCAATGTAAACAATATAGTTAAGCAAAACAGTGTTTTATGAAACTATGATCGAGCAGAACATTTTGGTAAAAAGATGAATATGGTAACGGTATTTCTAAAACGAGTGTTGGTGTTTCTGCTGATATCTCACTTAGCAGTCGGAGTCAACCATGATCAAGTTGTTTGCATTAAAGCAAATAACATTCATACGCCCTATCAGATACAGTGATAACATCAGCGGCTTCTCCAAGGAATTCAATCAAAGTGTCTTTTCTCCAATCGGTAGTATAATATATGACCATATGATATCACATCCGACCACGATATTTGTGTTGTGGTCACGTGATGTGAACTTTCGGCTATCTCTATGCTACCCTTCCAAGTACTACACATTTTGAAATATGGATGGTTTAAAAGCGCTGGTGTTTGCCTTCCACTGTAGGCAGAATAACATGAGAAAGATGCTTAGGTAGTTGCAAGTCGGCATGACGTTAAGGATGGTTCATTCTAAGCGCGAAAGCGAACGCGGACGCGAATTTGTGACGTTAGTGAATTTATGAAAGTTTACGCAGCGAATATTTCGTGACATTAAATATGAACCAGCCTCAGTACAGATGACATTGGCTTTTGGTGTCACTGAGTGCTATCTTTGTGAACGGCATTTGCCTGTGAATAAGGACTTCCAATTTACATTGTTAATCCTTTTAAGTAAAACGATTTTGTGAAGCATTCCGTCTAGACATTATGAATGTTTGCCTCGTGTACAGCCACAGGAAGTCGATTTGGCACATGAAAACTTGCAGTAGGAATCTCGACATGTAAGCTAGCCATGAGTAGAACTACCGCGTGCCTAGAATCACTCTGCGTAAATCAAGACTCCGTAACTTGATTAACCAGTCGTTAAAAACCGCCTTAAATGTCATGTTGTTCGGGAGGCTTTCCGTCACCGTGCCCAAACGGGCAGAAATGACTCTCCCAACAAACCAAAAAAAAATCATTAATCGGTACTAGAAACCATTTCCACCGGCCCTTAATCAAATATAACTTCCCCCATCCACAGAGGAAAAAAAACCCTTGCAAGGTCATTTAGGTATTGCACGAAACACCACTGAAGGGGCAGTATTGTCGATAAAAGCTATAAAACATAAGCGTAAAAGCATAAACATAATCATGCCTTGATCTCCACCGATTGCAAGTCTTCAATTCAGACAAATTAATTGGAATGCCCGGCAGATCCTTTCAAGATTTCTTTCCAGGCCAAGGGTAAAGCGTTTCCCCAAAGGCCTGCATCCAGCGCCCATTTAATATTGAGCTCAGTATCCGTCGTTCGTGTTCACGCGCGTAGGGAATGTAATTATCTTATGGAATAGCGAGCATGTAGCACAAACAAAGGAGGCAAGGAAAAATGGACAATAGGAAATGGACTGTCACATGCTTTGAATTGTCAGAAATTCATTTAAAACATACAACCCAATGTCTACGAATGTCTTACATTATAACTTTCACAATATGTGCAACCAAATATATTTCTAATATATTAAATTACCACAAAGAAACAATCTTCAATCCTCAACAGGAATCAGTCAGTTTCGGTTCAGTTTAGATTCCCCATAAACCTTTGTATTTTTTCATTTCTACATGATGAAGAAAAAAATGTCAAGGAATTAACCAGACTATCGCCCACCGAGAATAAGACATGGGTTGCCCAACACGTAAGTTCCAACGCTCATGACATACGTATAGTGTTCTTTTGATTGCACGTATACATGTTTACATGGACATAATGCTATTGGGATACATTCAAGCACACATTAGCTCTAGTCTGGTACCCAGACTGTCAGATGCAAACTCAATTTTTTTTCAAACTCCGACTTCGTTTCTGTCTGCGGCTCCAGCTCCATTTCCAACCTGTGTATTGCCTCAAGTGCAAGCCAGAGACGGGAAGAAAGCCGGGATTTGAGAAACGGCCAACGTGAAAGATGCTGATTTTGTTTTTCAAGTAAAAGGTTGAATTATTTTAATACTTCAGTGAATTATTTTGCATTGACTCCGAGGAAAACTCTAACTCCGAGGCCTTCCTTCTTCCAATATGCTTGATATATTTCACTTTTATTTATGCCGACACATTCCAATTGGATTCCCCTGATCAGAGAGTAAATCATTCAATATCAAAGTAAAAAGGGGAAGAAAAAGACACTGGTCGAAGTTTTAGTTGAGCTTATGCTAGTACAATGCCGGTGCAACGCCTGCTGAAAAATTGCATATCTATTGATCGAAAAATGTTTGTCTGATACGAATGTCAAGCCGGCTGCAACATCAATGGCGGCTTATCAAAGACCACCTGTCCATTGAGATTTGCATCGAGACTGCAACAAAGACGTGTTGGAATTCGCTCCCCGTCGATATAAATATTCAAATCCCACTCTGCTGACAAACAGTGCATGAAATCAAACCCAAAGGCAAATGGACACGTCATGTGAGATTCGATTTTAATTGCCCCAGTATTTGGACGTGTCTTCTTTGCATTCCAAGAACACAAGGTAATTTTTTTTTAAAATTAACAATGACAATTCCGAAAGAAAGGGAAGTGCATAGAAAAAAATCAGGAAATTAAAAACTAAACATAATGATGAAGAGGGAAGATTACTGATACGTCTTGGATTGGAAAAATGAGGGAACCAGAGGTTTAAATACGGGCGATTCCCAATACAGTGCGCCACCAAGAATTTCAACAGAGAGTCCATTTTTCAAGTTTTCGGTCGACAAAAAAATGGCCGACTTGCTGCGATTTGAACGAAACTCAGTAGACAACTTGAAAATGTTTGATAGATCGAGACAAAGCATTCTACCGCCTCACAAAACACCATATCTTGATAAACAGAAAAGAAAAGGAGAGTAGATACTTGAATCATACGCCTACGAACCTACTGACGGGACAAACTAACAATTTTAAGTGTCCCGCGCAGCAAATTTGTCGACCGTCGCCCACAATGCACTGCGAAAATGACTGTCCTTGGCGACCTCTAGGTGGCGCACTGAACAACGTTTGAATTCCTTGTTGGATGATATATAATGTGGTACGAGTTCACACCAAAAAGAGTTATGATACTGATTCAATCTCAACATGGAGTATAAATCATAGTTCTGGTATATAAGGCAATAACATCCTTTAGTCCTTGACAATGTACATGTACACCACTGTCCAGAGCTCAATGGATGTTCCGCTTTTAAGGTCCAAAACTTTTGCAGCGCGTATTAAGCGGCATCCAGTACCGCCCCATTTTACTCAGAAATAACAGACCTTGCATTTTAATACTTGCATGCATGGTTTCACGTATTCATCGTTCACTTTGTTTTCACCCTCAAAAGGCCTGAAACCTAATGACGTCACGCTTTGTTTACATGATCGCTTTTCTATGTAGTAGACAGTCCCTACCTCGTCTGGCGTCCCAACTTCGCTCCCATAGGAAAGTGCATATGTAAACAAAGCCACACGTCATTAGGTCTTAGGTCTATTTTCCATGACCAGACAACTTTACAGATGGTCATGAAGTAAGCAGCGTAGCTGGGGCAGAGGGTGGGGAGGGGGGAAGGAAGGTGGGGGTGGAGAGGGGCGCCACTGGAAATTTGTTAGTCTATAAGTAGCCAACGGGTTTAACAGAAATTAGGCGTCCCCCCACTCTAACATCCAGCCCCCCACTGGCCTCCTATACGTTGAGGTTACTAATTTAATTGTGGGGCAGTTGGCGCTAATGTTTGGAAGTAAAATCACACAAAGCATCAAGGCATTTGTTTTCTGTTAATATGAAAGGGCTTCATGGATAGCTTATTGACTGTATAAGTTAAAGTCTGCACCCCCGTGCTACATTTCCATAACAATACACACCGAAGTTTTTTTTTTTTTTTACTGAGTGCACTTATTTAAAAAAAATTATAAACAAACAAAATGTGTATTTTTTAACAAACAGTATTGGTTGTATTTGGTTTAATTGCTATTTATTTTTTAATTTCAGAATGATAGGTTTGAATTTTGCGCCTTCAGGCGATGGACGTGGTATCATACGGAGGCCGAGCTGGGATAAGTTTTTACAATGACCTATGACCAGATTTTCTTGCTGAGTCTACTTTAATTGTTAAAAACAACGCCACATAAATCAGTCTGGTCACGTATGTGAAGACGGGGGCCAGACTCACCTGCAAACTGCCCTTGGGGCAGTACTCAGTCATCACGCTGATGTTTGGTGGGTCGATGCAGGCACCGATAAACTTCGTCACGTGATCGTGAGAAATGTCCCGCATCTGAAACCAATTGGTTGATAATGGGATTGAAATGACAATTGCAAATAATGGCAAAGAAGAGAGGAAAAAATCAAAAACAATTAATTGTTATTAATGGTAAAAAATGATACAGTCTCGGAAATATACTACTTTAAAAAATGAAATACTACAAACAATTATGGTTTATTAAAGCTGCTCGCGTACAGTATGGTTCCTACTTCTTTCATACACCCCTTTAATAAATTATCTTGCTGTTTGTTCTAAGCTTCAGATCATGAGGGAAACATCCACTGCTTCGTTGTAAACACATAGGACCCCTCTCCAATTCTTTCCCAAAATAGCATATATATGCGGTCTCAATTGTATTGTGAAGAATAACATTATGATTACCAGTGAGAATACGTGAATTTGTGTACCCAACATCAGGATGGGGTGAGGAAGCACACCACGATGGCGCTGACCTACTGAGAGCCATTAACGAAACACAGATAATATGAACTCCCCCCCCCCCCAACATTGATTCAGTAACCAAAGCCAGAATGTCTGTCCATGTAAATCCCGAATATCTTGACCCGGGGATTCAGTCACTGTTTGCATACGGAGCCCTTCTCAGCTCCTTACAAGAAGCGAATTGCCCCTCATCAGGACATCTCCTTAGGCGAGTTTTCAGAGGACCTCCCCCCCCCTTGACTGTTGGGGCCGACTTACATGCTTGAAGTCAATCAGAACGTTTCGTGTCAGCTCCACTCGGATTCTGTTGACCTTCTTGATTGCTATGATGTTTCCCTGCGGGTAGGACGCAAAAACTGGGTCAAGAGATAGAAGTTGTTCGACTTCCCGTTTCCCCATACCCACTCCCTCGATTTGCAAGAGCCTAAATTCCCCCTTGTAATTTTACAGAAGCACAAAAGGAAGATGGAGAATGATTTAATGCATATCTTCGCAGAGATATTATCTCTGACATTTGGGATTATGTAAAAGGACCCTTTGCCCTCTATATATTGCGACGAAGGTTCCACGTCTGGTAATGCATTTGTGGACGCGATCTCATATCCGATACCTAATCTTGGGCGATTTAATCCCATTCTTTTTATAGACCATTTTATATAACTATATTATACTGACGACAGTTTCCTGAAAGTTGTTCGAAGAAAAATTCATTTAAAGTTTTGCGTCGTATAGTGAGGACACTATTTTCCAATATGCGTTCCTTATTCAAAGGAAGAGGACAAATTCCCAGTCGTTTCTGCGGTTTTGGTAACATTGACAGCCTGTTCCCAAATGAGTTCAGATAGAGAACGAAAGGCGACCACTTACTACTGAATCGATTAAACCAACAACAAAACGCGGCAATGCAAATAATTCTGGTTTTATTTAGGACAGTGAGTTTTCTCCCCTCATTCCAGGTCAACCCTTGGGGTTAGGTGTTATTAATTCATAGGCTAAGGGCCATTACACGCTGCGGTAACAATTACGGTATAATTTATGGTACTCCACTTTTTAATTTTGCTCTTTAATTGCCTTGAGAATTCAATTAGCAAGACCCAGTTTTTTTAACTTTGGGAAAAGCCAAGTATTCTGTCACAATGGTGCGAAAATCAGGTCGTGCGGTTAAATATTAAATCAGACAGAATCGGGTCGGGAGCTCTGCTGCTTTACTTAACTATGACGCACGAAACACTTCACGGTTTTACTCCCCAATAGATAAGTACTGTGTCTCCTATGGGATCACCATTAGGTAGTGGCAACCATTGAGAAGCCACGGTTAAGTGAATGGGACACGCACAATTGCACACGGATGTCCAAAATGGCGTCGGTGTCTTGCGACCTCAAAAAAGTATAGGCCTAACATTCTGATATACTGTAATCCCAGAGGTTGGCAACATACACGACTGCCATCACAATAATGTTGTGATATTCCATTTTCTGAAAAAAATATATATTGGCGTAGAGTGTAGATGTGCATGACCGCTGCTTTTGTGGAGTTTAAATTGAGTTCACTGATTTGTCCAGTTAGATAACCTTATCAGTACTGTAGCCCATTCGCACTTTGTGCGACGCCATCAGATCACGTTGAAATGCAAACAAGTACGTGCAACTGAGAGATACTAAAAAATTGAATTAGTGTAGGGGCAATGTTCAATATTGCGATTCGATGTACGATTTCAAGATGTACAGCTAACTACAACCTCGAGCTCACCTTGTAGTAACCAGTAACTGTAAAGATTTGTTGATTTCCTCCCCATACGCTTTGTCCAGACTCACCCTGAAAAAGGACATTAAAAAAAGATCAGTTACTTTTAATCCGAACTTTCTATTACCTTGTCAGATTCACTATAAAATGATAAGAAATACGTGTTTAGTGCAAAAAAATGTGATTTAAATGATGTTAATTTACACAACTCAGCCGTTACGCTATTTAGCCTACTTTACAATAAGGCCAGATTCATTTCAGGGCTGCAAAACCGTCATTATATGTCACAAACAGCTGCTATCGAAGTGTTGTGAACAAAAGCACAACTCTGTTGAGGCTGGGATGATGTTACACAAATCCTGAATGGGCGGCAATTTCACGATACAGCGATACCGGTGCCCTTTAAGGTAAAACGCCGTATCAAATGCCTTACACGTGCGTATCGATCGACGACCGAACTCAACGAAATCCCAAGGCTTTGAATTTTGCATGGGAACCATTCTTGTCCCACTAATGTGCACGGGATAAATTCCCGCCAAGACACAGGGCAAGATGGTTACATTCCCTGCGGGCTTTTAGAGGTGAATGCATAAATAATATTCATTTCGCGGATATTTTCGTCAGCATAATACATTATAATCTTAAATAAGAATAATTGTTTAATTCACGAATTCGCTTCGTGATAAAATATCTTGTTTCAGGCAACTAAGGGTAGGCAGTGATTGTGCATGTCTTTCCTTTGAAGATTCTCCTGGATGCATAAAAGCCAAGCATTTACCGGAAGGACCTGGTCTTTCGATTCTAAGACAAAGGTAAAACTCGAAGGCAACTCTACAGTGTGCTGCAGTGTTTTATTTTAAACTAGTCACTGCGGCATTGTACTGCGCATTGAACTCATATACAAAAGGCTGCGGCATATTCAATGTACTTGTAATCTTAATGAGCAAAAAGCCAGAGTTGAGAACCTATATTTAGGAATAGGCATCACTTCAATTGAGATAGTCATGGATCACCACATAACCAAACAAAAAATATGAGTTTTCACAACGAGAACGAGCATGAAGGTCTTTCTTCAGAGGGCATCTACACATGTTTTACTCCCCCCCTGGGTACAAGTCTCTTTAAAATTGACGATTTCAGGGGTAAACGTAAAGAGATATTAGAAAGGCTATACGGGAAATGCATTATCCTTAACAAATACGAGATGTAGCGCTGCTTGTTACCGCATGTCAGTGCTCATTTCCGCCTGGTGGCCACAGAACATGTCTCCCAATGTGCTGTAGCTCACCATCATTCAGTATCATCAACAGAAGTAGCCCTGGATGCAGCGGTGTTTCAGCGCTGCCTCCCCAACGGCTGTTTCATGTACGGATATTGATTTACCACTGATCGGGCATTTTTTTTTTTTAGGTGGGTCTGAAATTACAGACAGACAGACAGCTGCGGGCCGACATTGGAGTTATGAATCACACCAAAGATGGTGGTATGGACAAGCAATGGCGTGAAAGCTTAATGGCTCGATTACAGAACCGTTGCTAACTTTTATCTCTCTGCGTAATACCATGCTCACGAACTCAGGAATCTTCGAGACAAGTGTAGAGAAAAGGGTTTAAATATACAATGATTAGTGGTAATTGGAGAATCTAGCACATGCCTCTACTCCCTGCACGCCTTTGTTATTCATACCTTGATCAGTGACGCCAATTTCAAAAAGTGGTGTTTACTTGAAATTGTGGCAACCCAAAAATCCATTGCATTAACGAAAACATCAAAAAATCAAACAAACCGTTTTTGCCATTTCCATAATGGCAGTTATCTATTTTCGTCAGAGCTTCCCGTTTAGTTTTGAATGCTACGTCATCAAGTCCATATTTGGAACCGTTGTTTGCTTATTCATATTGCTATTTTCGAACCGAAACTATTCTAAAAAATATCACCGTCAAATGAAATTAAACTCAACTATGTAAGGAAGTATCACCGGAGAAATGGACCACTAAGAGTTTCAATTTCACAGTTTCAAGTTAGCACTCACAAAACACAGTTAAATATACATCGTTTGCTTCGTTCCTAATGAGCCTTTTCTCTGTTCCTTGTTTCGGTTAAAACCGCCGTTAACCGCGTTCAATGAGAGGACAGATATTTAGCAATGGAGAGATTTCTCCGTAGAAGCTAATTTGTTGGGACTTTTCTTTCAACCTATTTGGTATGATGACTTGGCCCACTTGCATAGAAGAATTCAAAGCTTTGTCATGCATTTTCATAGAACCTTGCAACCCAAGATGGCTGTCGGTGACGTCAAAAGGGAGAAACCCTATAGGCCTACCATGATTTTCTATCAAGAAACAAATCGTACATTTTGATGGTCCTGTGAGATCAAGTACTGCTATACCTTCAGTCATGAATTAATGAGAACAACTTCGCCTAAAGGTAGAGAGACACAGTTTACCGACGTATGTATTAAGTGCATTCTTTAACATGCTCCGTATATAATAACAGCAAAGGGCTCACAAATTCAGTTAACAGCTCGCGACCGCCCGGAATCACGAGTGTTATTTCAGGTGAACAATGTGCGACCACGGCCGGTAGGAATTAGCAATGAACGGAACGCGACCTTCATACGCAAAATTCTTGCCATCCGCGTATAGCGGTAAGATTTAGGATATTATGCGAGGCACGGCAGTTGCGGGCTAGTGGATGATATTACAGCTCGCCTAATTGAAAATCACGGTTCAAGGAGAGACATAGTCGCCTTGTCTTGTCTTGATGTTATTAACGATCACTGTGACTATTATCGATGCGATGAGAACATAAAGTGACATAAATCTTGTGTCTGTTTTGTGCGAATGTGTTTTGTTTATATTAAGTGTCCTGATGTTATGATCTACGGTCGTTTGTATATTCCAATTATATATACACTATTACAACGTGATATTTTGTGATATAACTTAACTTACGCTTGTTCTTCACGGATGCATGGTTTCAAGTGTGTATTTCACTATGCAATTAATGCGTAAAGTAGACCTCAATTGAATTTATCAATATCACCCCAAAAAAACGTTGGCTTCCAGACAAGAAGATGAGTAGGCCCACTTACAAGAATCCCAATTTGTGAAAATTAATGGACCTGGCAACATTCTCGATTGATGACTCCAATTCTCTAACGACCAATATCGCAGAGCAGGTAGTTGTTTCCAATGACATTGATGGAGAAGCTGTTTAGCCCGAGCAATCCAATATCACTGAGTTAATGTCTAACGTTCGGTCTCGCCCGCGCTGGCTGTGAGAAATTAAAAGCGCCCTCTGCAGTTGATATACGTGTTAAGTGAGAATTGTATTAGCCGTGGAACTACGAGTTCACACGGATCTCGGAATTATAGTACAGGGACGCCTCGTTCGATGCTCTAATTGGTCAACTCACACGTTTGCGCGTTTAACTTCGTTTACCTCGAACTATATATCCTAAACATGGGTGCTAAATATCTCTGAATTATTTGACCTTCAGTGAATGATTTTTTAAATCATTACCCAAGGGGACATATTTCATGTCGAGCCGACGCCAATGGTTGTGGGTACCCACAATGCTTTGTATCGCATGTGTTTCCTTTACACAATATTGTGAATGGATCAACGGTTACCAGCGCCCTTAGATGCCGATGGGTACCAGGAAAATTAATTTATGCTTGATTTACGACCGACAGAAACTTAAATGAAAAGCATAACTGATTAACAGAAAAGTATGTAATTGATTACAGGCCAATGTAAATGGGAAATAGCTGAATATTAAAATAGAAATGGTTAGTTTCCGTATTACCTTGGCCCCGAATGATAAAATGCCTCTTTTTGGTAGACAGTTGACAGATGTGATTTAAAACCTTTGCCTGGGTATTTTTGAATAATTTGACAGTACTACCAGCCAACTGACCTAGGCTGCTGTTATCGATTTCACACAACCATTTCCCTGGTAACCTACCGAACCAAGGCTCAGCCGGCTGCCCGTAAGTTTCCGCTGTTTGTCCATCTTGTTGTTAAAGGTGATGTCTTCCCACTTGATCTTCCAAACCATGTTGGCCAACTCCATTTCTAGTCTGTACTTTCTGGAAACGAGAGAGAGAAAAAGAAAAGATTTGTGGTGATTTATCTTTATTATACCCAAACCTTCATTACGATGTTGGGCAAAATCAATTTCAAATTTTGATACAAAAGTCTTTTTTAAAGCACGCCAAGTATAATATGCGTGATACGGAATAGCATGTAGTGGATAATGCACTATTTTTTTTTTAAATATAAAGTTAGTGAATCAGTACTGGGATGGAGGAAGATGACAATTTTTTTAGGTTGGGAACTCTTAGGTAGAGGTATACCACAGGATTTTTTTCAAGCCTGCGGACCGAAATATGAAAGTCGTTTTCTGGGATCACTAAGCATGTTTGTGAAGGTTGATTTTCCAGAGGGGCGTACACAATTTAGTCTGCTTGTCCATGGAACGGACACTAAATTGTCCTGAATTTATTCGATAAACCACTCGGGATGAAGAGTGCAGAACTGATTTCCCAAGAGACGCCTTTACGGCGAAAAAAAGGCTCTTGAGTTGTCATCCCGCATGTGTCCCCAATAACTTCATTTATAGCAGAAGTCAAGGTACTAGATTGCATGTTATGGCTTCTGCAAGTTGAATCCCCGGAGGGAATTGAGTAATTCTAGCGACTTTTGGTATCTCTACAAGCTTCAAGGTTCCCTTTGATTTACTATGGCGCGCAGTCATGATTTTAGTTTGGGTTATTACCAAACGCCGGCAGAGGTTCAGTATCAGGTTTTATGACGGTATGGCACATTTCGATGGGCGGCACATAAAACAATTTGGAAGAAATTTAACCTCGTACATCCTGCAGAGGAGAGGAAGGCTTGAATATAAGTGTCTGAAGGAAATGAGAGAGTGTAGAACACATATAAAGCCAACGATCACCGCAGGGGAAGATCAATTCTAGCATGAGCGGAGCGATGCGTGTTGAATTTGTACAAGGCCTCTTCACACTAGAGCATCCATGCCCGGGGCGCCCGGGGCGAACTCGCCCAAGGGCCGCCCCGGTACTACCCCGGGTGACTCTCGATTTTTCATCCTCGGTTTCAACCCCGCCTTGTTTCAGACTTGTTTTGCGCAAACCGTGTTTTTTGTCTCGCCCTGAGGCGAGTTCGCCCCGGGGATTTGCAAGAAGGATTCACACTCGAAGTCTTCAACCCGGGGCAGCCTATACCGAAACGTACATGACAAATGCTACGCTCTTCATTGCCAAATTCCGATATTTTTGAAAACACACACAAAAAAAAAATCCACAAAAATTGCCTCATCAAATCCTCAAATGTTTAAATGGTGGACTCACATGCACGTTGAGCCTATTTCCACACGTGCTTCATCGTGCGTGCTACGGACCGTTAAAATGACGTCATAAAACCGATAATATATCGAATAAGCACGTAGTCTTTTTTAAAAATATCCAAATTTTATTTTAGCAATTTAAATTTGAGACATTTCGCTTTTAAAATGTTTTATTTTATTGAATTGTATCGTTTAAACTGATACATTTCCTCACCATTTAAGCATAAACTACCTAGTTCCAGTACCGGGAAGCATATCACTACGCGTGCATTTTTTGTTTATCGTAAACATGAATCTCGCGAGATGTTTGTGGTCTCCGATGCAGAGAAAATGGGAATGAGGCTGAATACATTTCAATATTACTTATCCAAATTAGAAGCGAAAGGAGTAAAACCCTGTGTACGTTTTCATGTCAAAACAATTAAGTCAAATTTAACCGACGTTTTTATTTGATTTGTTACACCTTGCCGTCCAGTATTACGAGCTGTTGGTTGGATTTGCGTCAGTAAAAAAGTCGCAAATAAAGCGTTCATTGTACACAATGTATGCTTATTTTCAGATGAATTGTTGCAATTACATTAAACTTCAGAGTCTATTTTAACCCTCAGATGCTTGCCCCTGGGCGAACTCACCCCTACTCATTTCACACTACATTTCTCGCCCCAGGGAAAGTGTGTCACCGGATAAACTTTTCGAACCTGGTCTCGAGCAGGGGTGAACTCGCACTGGGGAAAGAGCAATCTCGGGGGCGGCTCGGGGTGGCACGGGAGTGAGAATTTCAAATAAGAATTGTGGCTTATTTTCATCCCTGTGTCGCCCTGGAGTCACCCACCAGATGTATATTTTTTCAAGTGTGAAAAGGTCTGTAAATAAACTAGTTAAGTAAGCGGTATGTAACTGTTTACTAGTAAAATAGACTTATTAAAGTACATAGACCGTTTCATGGATATAGCCTAGCCTACTGCCATCTTGGATTATGTTGCAGGTGATCCAAGCTTTCAGGGGCAAGTATTTTGTTAACTCGTGCTTTCAACGTAGCTGACACGCCACAGCAATGATCAATGCTTGCGCCCAAAGAGATACCACGTGAGACACCACGTGACAACAAAACACAATGGGTGCATTCGAGTAGATAATACACCACTTGTATACACGGGGTTTGCACTCGGGGAAGCCACGAAATGAGGCTAATCGAACGTTGCAGTGTATTCGCCTGGGATTCTGGGAAAATTAAGGTCAAAGGTTACTAGGTTGCGGGACTTTAAAATGTTAACACGCCCCGCATATTGTCGTCTGCTCCGCTGGTAAAACGCAATTAGTTTTATCATTGCAACCAGATCAAAAATTGCTAGAATCGGAAGGTATGCTCTGAATTATTAAAAAAACGTCCATATATCTGTCCATCACGTGAACGTAAGTTGTATCACGTTTGAGTCACAAATCTCTTTACATTTGTATTTTCTTCGTAATAAATTCAAGTTCCCGCCATTTTCAATCTAGCCACGACGAGTTCGTGCACGAACTCGTCCAGCTACGCCAATACACACAGGCATCCACAGAAGACCCGCTTGCGAGCTGGGGCACTGGTGGTTGACATCGGGGCAGCCATGAGTAGGCCTATCACGTGATGCTAACCGAACGCTCTCGTGTAAGTTTTACTTACACGCGTAAGCTATTCGAACGTACCCATTGAGATAAAGCTAAGATGGCGGTATCCCCGAAATAGTCTATTGCAACCTCGTCCCCATGGCGTCAGCCATTGCGCTACACCACGATGCTCTCTCTATAAGAACGAGGCTGATATGGAGTAGAACCTGAGAAGATCTGCAGATATACATAGTCGTGCATCAGGCAATAATTCATTGGAGATGTATGTAATAAAACAGGTTTATAATATTCATGATAGTGTTACACCGACGAGGGCTTTTACATCAAACGAGCTATTTCAGTGAGGGGTCTCAGTACTCAGAACATTGGTTATCCCGGTTATTTCCCCACATGCCGACCAAGTGCAACATAATCCTTCTTTTTTAATGGATCGCGGCACGTTTAAAGTAGGTATCTCGACTTGATATCAAGCTGATGAAATACGTGTAGGTTATTAAATATCGCTAGCTCATCACAACTATGACGCTGAGCGTAACATTTTACGCTTCACATGCAACTATGATCTGGTTTAGATTTTTCTGAAAAAAATACTGTCCACTATCAATGTTGACAACATTGGAAACACAACACATAAATAAAGAAAACTGGAGTAGTCTAATAAATCTTTTGGTCGAATGAATATAGAAGTCCGTCAACTGTGAGAATTCAACTGCCACCGCCACTTGCTAAAACATCAATTATTAAATTTCATCATTTGTCATTATCTGAAATCAACTCAAAAAGCTACAAAATTCGTAAACATATTTCGAACCGGAGCCAAAAATTATATACATTAGTTAAATATGTGTGCCATATCCTTTTTACTGCGAGCGGATCCTATTTCTTTTCTTTCAGTGATACCAAGAGTGATACCAAGAGCGGTGGGAATACTAATAGGAGCGCCATATGCCAAGCAAATTGTTTCAATGGTCTTGAATTTATACTCCGTTTAATATTCTGCGCAAATGTCAAACATGTCTCTCTAAAATTGTGCAGAAATTCAATTTTGATATTCATATTGGCTTCATCTCCGTTTGACAACTCGCCACTCTAGGGTTTAATCGAGGCTGTGCTTATCAATTAGAAAAACAAATCAACGCAACCATGTGTCGAATGAGTGTTTTCGATAGCTACACGGTTACCGGCTCGAGTGCGAGTCTGGTCTCCGTCAAGTGTTATGCGTTTATCGGCCTCTCCTTTACTTCCGATTCGCCCATGGATCGCGAGGCGTTCTCTAAATACAGAGAAGTGCAAGTACTTCACTAAAACTATTAGATACGCAGTATCATTTCAGCTTTTCATGAATAATTCAGTAAAGATGCAAGTAAATTTCTTTTACCGATTTGCTACAATATGCCATAATTTTTTTTACCAGTGAAAGATAATTCTGATGGATAAGATGTTTGATTTTTGTAAACTTCAAAATTAGATTTTACTTTGATTTGCCTTTACTTTTTGAATTAATCTACCAAGCTGCGTGTTTCATAGACCGGATATCCACTCAATTTGGTTGTAATTGACTTGAGACTCGGCAGTGAGATCCAGACAAAGTCCGGCGTTGTTTGTACGGATTTTGGAGGCGTCGTGGTATGAACCAAAGATCATTAGTTCAACCACTTTGTTGACAAAAAAATTACTGGTCGTGTCTTTTACGGCGTATATAAAAATAATAGAGAAAGTCACACTAACATGACACCCTTAATCTCTACTTCACGAGTCTTTGGGACCTTTTTCATTCCACAGGGAGATAGGTGTCAATGTTGCCGGTCTCCGTCACGAGAGAGCGCTTTTTTGTGGACCATTTCATGCATGTTTGGAATTAAAAACAAAATTCACTGCAACACAGGTACTCTTTAATCATTTGTGGAGGGAGTTTTCACGGACAAAATGTTTGTGTTGTTTTAAAAAGGGGTTGTTAATTGCCGAATGATATTTCTATGAAATATATAGCTTAAAGAAATAGGCTAATATATGATGCAATCCCAGTTTTGCAATGTGCGCTTACAAAATATGTAAATAACAATGATCTAGAAAACTTTCTCGTTCGGCGCCCGCAAAAATGAAACTATCAATTGTCGGTTCCTTCGGATTAAATTTGGAAACATTCAACAAGCGATTACACGAAGCAGTGAACACTCAAGCCAAAAGAGCTGAACTATAACCCCTCCCATTATGTCATTTATTTTCTGCCCCCCCTTTTAGACCAATGAAACAAGCGGGCCAAGACGACACATGGAAAAAGCATCGCTCAAAACTTAAAAATATATTTTGGGCAAACAGAATAGCTTTTCATGTTTTCCCTCACACAAAACAATACAATGACGAAGATGTTTCCCGGTCCTTGCATCTAAGCATAGTGTTCAGCCACCATAGAATCGTTTGTAAATGGTTTCCTAATTCAAACCTTGAGAAGCGATTAGCAAGACCCGTTAATTAGTCGAGTACGTTTTTATGAGTGCAAGTACATGTATATACGAGTACGAGTACATGGCAATTTTAACACTAAGTAAGAGTACGACTATGTCAACATGTATACTACGGGTACTTTCCCTGTGTACGAATACGAGTAGCTTAACTATTACCATGAGTACGAGTACTCTACCATGAGTACGAGTACTCTACCATGAGTACGAGTACGCGAGTAAGCGAGTACGAGTACGTGTGGTCTTATAAGCAAAAGTACGCAAGGGCGTAAATCCGGGGGGGGGGGGGGGGGGGGTTGATGAGGAGGATGTTTCCCATATTTTTTGATAGGGGGATTCTATTGGCCATTGGATCATCCCCCCTCCCCCGATAAACCACGAAATGTCGGTTTTGGGGTTTTATTTTAACTTTCCAACAGTCCAAATGTATTAAATAGTTATGAAAAACGGAGAACATAGGCCTATATTACAGAAGCTTTGGGCCTTAATGCACCGTTTTGATATAAGGTTAAGGGTAAGCACACAACTTTGCATAAGAAGTACATTTGAATCTTGAACAGCGCCACCTAGTGTCATGTGGTTTCCAACATCCCGCAACCCCCTCCGGTGTTCGAATTTCCACGGCCGGTCAATATTTTGATTTTTGGTAACACCCCTCCCTCCACTCGCCGACACGGATTTACGCTACTGCAAGTACGAGTACAAGTACGAAATAATTTACTTGAGTGCGAGTACGAGTACAAGTGTACAACACTGTCAATTTCGCCTTATGGTAAATACCCCTCCCTCAGAGCTCGCCTATACCACCTTTAACTGGTCACAACAACTGCACACCTGTGCATATTTTCACGTGCTACAACATTTCTATCTCGTTTGCAGGTCTACACAGGTGCAGTTGTAACACCACGCTGATTGATTGTGTAATGGAAATTTGTAATAGTGATACCTTCATCATTGCAGCGGAGCAAGCGTCAAGAAGTATGCATGTGTTAGTGATGCATAATGACACGAAAACTGAGTTTCCCCATCACGGTGAGGATTAAGCAAGGCGGGAAGATGGTCACGTAGAAAAATAAACAAAAAGTTGCAAGAAGTTTGGTCTCTGCTGGCCTCTCCGTATAATGCATGCATGATAACCTAGGATAGGAATGTCAGAAGACTTAAAATCCAGTCGAAGATTCCAAATGAGAGAAAACGGGTTCTCTAAGAAACTCATTTCTCAGATGGCGAATGTGAGAATGTGATAAAAGGACAAGTAAATCAATCAAAAAGGCAAGTCACGACATAGCATAAATCCCCAATTCGTGAGAGGGCATGAAAATGACAAGACCGTGATTTTGTTCCTTCTTGCGGGCAAACATCAAGAGTGGACCACTCCACACAGGGAGGAAATTAGCACCTCTTAGCTCTGGTGAACCCATGTTTGCCATCGGACCTAATGGACAGTCAGTATGGGCTTGGTAGGATAACCAATATGGCACGACCGTCAAACATAGCAAACATGACCAGGGACATTTATTTGCAATTGAAGCCGTGAGAAAACCGTGACAGCAAGTTCTATCACCAGACCTTACCGGGCAGCAGAGACCGACCCGTGTGCAATTACTTTTTTTTCTGCAACCAGGTATAGTCACAAACCGTAATACGCTTGCGCAAGTTGTTAACAGAATGGTTCTCAGACTTGACTTCCCTTGAAAAAAACCCTTCAGAACCAAGAATCGGATAAGATATAGGTGAAAATTATTTCATTAAAAAGAAGGACTCGATAAAAAAACTGGATAAAAGAAAGAAAAAAATATACATTTTTTTTGAGAAAACCGAACAAGTCATTTTAAATCACGTGGAAATTATTTCAGTCAAGGGATGTAATACGGTAAGTGACTATACTTGGCTGTAGAAGCAAACTTGGCAACCCGGGAACCACTCGCATTTTCTGGCACGCTTTCAAGAACGAATAAGCCACGAGGCTAACCTCACATGCCACTTTGCAATCGACTCACGCCACCCACGTCCTACCTAACGGTCACCTCTGGGTTAGGTTTGTAGGCTGATCAGCGCTCTGCACTTACTACTGATCTCCTCATATAAAGCGTTCATGCCTATTACACTCTGGACAAGATAATAACAAAAACATCCCTATATGGCGCCCTCTAGAGATGGTGTGAAAACTGAATTCGGATCCTAACAATGTTTTACGAAAATCAGGTTCTTTTAAATTGAAAACGAGGCAATTTTCGAACATGGCTGCGTTATTAAAAGTAAAACATTTCAGATATATTTTTTCCATCAATAGGTAGGTCGTGTCAAACAGGAATGCACCAACACTGTTTGTGGCTGGGGGTTTCTCATAGGTCTATAATAATATATATATAACAACTGTATTCGGTCCACTAAAAAAGATCAAAGGGCCGTATGATGATGTAGATTAATCCGCGATGCGTATTATTTTCAACGATTCTATTCCCACATGAGGGCGCTTCTTCCACCTCTGTGCCAAAACTCCCCATTCCATTCACTATAACCGATAATATGGCTACTTCTGCTGCTTTACAGCTATAGTTATGTTAGTGAAAAAAAATAATAACACTGCAACTCACCTGACAACATAGATAATGATTATCACAGCCAAGACGACTACTACTGCCATTGTTATCATCATGATCATGACTGTAGCTGTTCAATAAAACAATACAAAGTGAGTATATGGGTATTTAATATGCGAGTTTGCAAAATACTCATGTGTCTACTTGACGTCATTTTTGTGGAAAGTTTTCCTTTTCTATCCCTTCTTTGTGTAGCCCTTACCTAGAGCGGCCCTTAAGTAGGGCTGTGTAATGGGCAACTATCATAAAAAGACACTCGATCCCAAATATAAAATCGCTTCTGTTTATAAGAGTTTCTAACGACATAAATTTGAATAAAATATTTGTTTATGAAAGCTAAAATGTCCACAGCATTAAAAAAATACCCTCTATGGGTAGAAAAAGAAAACACGACTTTTTTTCTCCTTCGAAACGGAAAATAGAATTCAAAGTATTTAAAAAAAATTATTTCTGGGAATTACTGTCAGTTGAAAGCATGTTCATACTTCTTTCTTAATGCATTTCTCCTCAAACACAAGTTCTAAGGAGCATATAATGAAACGGTAACTTACGGTTATTGTCCTCCTCTTCGATGCAGAATTCTCCCTTGAAGCCACAGTCTGGTACATCTTTGGGCGGGGTCGGCCCGGGCCAATCGATAACCACGCCCGGGACAGGTGTGTACTTTTTAGCTACCCCATCGTAATAGCCAGCGACCTGTAGGGATAGAACGAATACGAACAACAGGTCAGTGCATGACACATCAGATGCAGGGCTACTTTTACTATACCATATGTTGTTCTGAAACTTGGAATTCTAAACGAAAAATGTTGTTTTTGTCTTTTAATACACACCAAATGCCAGTCAATGACAGATCAAATTGTTTCTATAATTGTGTGTTAACTTTAACCCCAAATTCTGAATGAAAATATGCGATTTTTTATGGAATATTCGGATATTAGTGTTATGGAGAAATTAGGGGTCTGGTTGCCGAAGGCGAGGGCTATTATCGGCGATCAGGCCCGAGCTGCGAGGTGCACGTTGTTAAAATGGGCATCTTAGACCCTGTGGAACTTGACGCAATTGCGCCCCCAAGTGGTGTTTGTGCATGTCCCACGCAGTTTGGATCTTCAAAGGGACATTACGGCCTGGAATGCGCCCATTTGGGCTATAAAACGCGTTTGGAACGAAATTATATTAATTGGAAAGAGCATTTAAAAGTAGAATATAAACGTCCACACAACCATCCTTTAAAAACTGGGAGTTTTGGTGTTATTCATGCGAGAACGAAGTTCAGGGGTCACAATATTATTTTGTCGCAGAAAAATCGAGCAGCATGAACGCTAGTTGTGAATCCTGTCGCACTAGTGCTTCGCATACTGCGGACGTGAAAGAAACAGCATGTATGTATTGGTGGCGTGTATTATGTGACACACACACACACACACACACAACGTTTACCACTGTGTCCGATGTAAACAACCGCGGGGTGTTTCATCTTTTCTCGGGAACGGTAAGACGTTAGCTTAGTTTCCTTTCAACCAGACCTTTGGAATAGGATTAGTTAACAATCCAAAACATGAAATTTTCGGTGATTTCAGGCCGTAATGCCCCTTTAACTGAATTCAGGTTTTCAGAAGTATTTGCAGATATTTGTCACCAGAGAACAATTCACTTTAATCTTTCGATTATCTGTTGGAATTTCTATGTACTTTTCAAAAGGGGATCTTTACACATTAGTGTTTCTTCACACGTTAGTGTTTCAAATGTTTTGAAAGAGAAATGTAACCTATGAGAATAGCAACCATTTCATTCCCGGCGTGCAAAACAACCTCCCGCTTTAAAATCAAACACATATCACGCACTAATCAGCAGATAGACCACCGCGAATTCCACCTTCAGGAATCTATTCCAGCAAAACCTTTCATCGCTCAACCCAGGTCTTTGGATATTTTTCTTCAGTCTAGGGGCCCACGGAGTAAAACTGGTAATTGATAGCAACTGGCCCACTCCGTATCATGTATACATGGTGCCAACGTTAGATAAACAAAGTCGATGTGTGCGTAAATGACGCAGTTCAGCAAACAAAATCAGGTAACAGCACGCGGTGATTACGCAAACACAAACAGTAAGCTGTCATCGCTTTCATTTTTTGACAAGTTGACACAAGGTGGAAGGTAAATATGAGTTATATGGGAGGAGGGCGTGGGCCATTGTACTTTTCCCGCACCATTGGAACAAGTTCGCAAAAGATATAGCGTACTTTCCCTCCATGTTGAACTCTATACCGTACGGTGTGAGGAATCGACAGATTGTTACTTCGGAATGTGCCTAATATATCACACGAAAACCTGACACATGAATTGGTTTGATCGATAGTTGATGTCTACGAACGAGCTGGGAATCGTCTGGATTTTTTTCTCGACAGGGCAAAAACTCACCAGAAACGGTGGGGTGGAGTGGGGCATTTCCCCCTCCCTTGCACCCCCCGGTCGACGCCCATGTTGTTCAATCTAAATTATAACAATACGGTCTACGGGCTCCGTGCGCCAATACATATGTTCACCAATACCGATGTTCCCCGAAATCCTATACCCTAACCCTAACTGTAACCCTAACCTTAACCCTAGGATTTCGGGGAACATCGGGTAGACCCCGTGCATAAATACCCCTTCAACGGCCAGAAAAGGAGAGTTAGGGGAGACCTAGACTGGTTTCCAGTCCATCCATTACATATTTCGAATGATCAAAAGTTATTGGGGGCGGGGATTAGTCTGGGAAACCATTCGCAAGTTAAATTCGAACGTATTCGCGCGCGACGACGCCTGACGCTCACGTGAAGACGCTGTGGCTAATAGCTTTGGCACATTCAGAAAGTCGTGCGTAATTCGCGCGCGAACCAATACAGTAGGCCTACACACATGCTGTGTGCCCCGTCCACGGGGCTCTCACAAGTGGAAAAACGCGCCCTCTTTTGTTGGCAATTTTTTCATTTCCCCCATACGGATAGGATACCTATGATGTTGAGTTGTGTATACAGTTAATAGTGTCCCCTGACGTCAGAAAACAGGATGGACAGTAAGTGGAAACAATTGTACTAAAAATATTTTCAAGGTAAAATTTATTTCATGGTCGCTTTAAAACTGACTTCATGGCGGTTGAGTCGATGATGGTAAAAGACCTTGTTTCTTTGACAGGGGATGGATGAAAAACATAGCTTGCTTTTGAGTATACGGTTTTTTGTTTAAAGAAACTACTATCTTGGAAGGCACGAAGCAGACTGCTTTATCTGCAGGATCATCAAGGCCACCGGCTAGCGTCGACATCCCCGCCATCTCACAATACCCATTACCGCTCCGCTTTTGAATTGTTTGGATAGCTCCAGCTCTCCATCAAGCCGCATCTTGAAGAAGGTCGTGAGCGAAAAATGGTAAGAGGCCATTTGAGAACAATGGGTCTGGCCACTTCACGACGACCCTGGAGGACGAAATTAACGCCTGAATGGTGTACGGGTATAAAAATCCAAGATAGATCTTGCGGTATACCGGTAAGGCTCGAGTGCTTAATCGATGTTGCATGAACGCAGAGGAAATCAACCCGAATAAGTGACCAGGTGCGATTCGAACCAATGTGCACCTGCCCAAGAAGAGAAATATAACGAACGACATATTTTTTGTACGGGGCTTTTTACATTCCGTAAATTTCTATAAATCGACAAAGAATTCGAAGAACATAATTAGTTGCTATTCCTGCAATAACCGTTTTGTGACTGGTCTTAGGGAAAACATCATGGAAAGCCGAATTGTAATATCATTAGGGAGGCTCTATTAACAGAGATTTAGTTCAAAGCTTTAATTCTACGTACTATGTTGGAAGAAAATGCATTTTCCTCCCATGGATATCATTCTTTTGTAAATCGTTTTCAGCAAATTATATGCCCTACTTGAATTTACTGTAAATTCCAAAGCTTTCTGGTTGATGATTCGTCCCCCTAAAAAAAATGAAAATTCGTCATCCGGTGTGCATGATGGTTCTGAAACGTTGGAACCGTTAATACTTTCAAACTTATTGTTCGAATCTTTTAATGTAATTCCCGGTTCCAGATCACTGACTATTAAAAATCCACGACAGCGCCGTAACCATGTTCATAAAACACGAATACAAACTGTGTCGCACGTATAACTTGCTCGTAGCTGTGAATTTAACTGGTAGGCCAACACCTTGCAATGTCACTTCATACATTTCGGGCCAATCTACTCTTTCTAAACAAAACGCGCTTCAGGGCATCTGAGGTGCCATGTCTAACACCTTCAAGGGCTTAAAAATGGATTAGTTCGTTCATCCACACAAGCCAATTATATGTACCTGATAAATTATATCAAGAAAAAAATACATGAGGTCTATTTACGCGAGATTCTAGATTACTGTTTGTACTTATACGATGTAATGAAAAGTAAATGGCGACATTAAAGAGTGGAACCAATCATAATGACATGCGATTGTTTCCAACGAACCATGCACGGGGCCTACATATTCATTATGGTTGGAACAAGCAATTCAATGAAACTCAGCATCAACGATGAACTAGTTCGATGCTAGGTAACCAAACAGTACCAAATGCATATTTGATAATAACCACGTAATATTCATCATGTGGATGATAATGTCAGAAACATACCCGCCCCATGCCAAAGACGTTGAGAACGGTAAATTTTCCTTTGCATTCTTGAGAAATCAAGAAAAAGAGGACTAAATTGCATGCTGTGTGAGCCTTGGAATTTTGATCTCTACTATGGATGTTAAAAGAAAATACACAGTGCTTTCAAGTTCGGCCAGTGCCAGCAATTCGATGAGTGACGTACGGTAACTTATGGCGCTCTAATACCAGCAACTGTCCACAGTTCAAGGTGCCGATTCACACCTTTCGCTCATTGCATACTGCAATGCAATTTCTTCGACAGACAAGGAAGAGTGTGATCCGGTTAAGAAGCCACTCTATGGGGAAATCTGCGATGGATATATTATTAACTTCAGACTTGGATGCCGCAGTGGTCCGAGATAACTTTTGCTATCGGGTAACAGGAGGGAGTTATTTACCCGATAGTGCCTTCCGCCTTATTACATTGCTTTGGGTTGGTAGTAATGAGTGGATATGCAGTAGGGACAAGTAATTGGAAAATTGTTGCCGTAAACAAGTTTCCCAACACAATTACTCGGACAACGGCGATAATCTTCAACTTCCGTACGGGGGGAAAGGGGTTTGAGAAACTGCGGAGCAGTGTTTGTCTTCTACTTGACTTGTTGCGATACACGACACCGCATTTCCTAGCGGAGATCATTTTCTCGGCAGAAGGAAACCTAAGCCGGCGTTCCATCGGGTTTGAGTAACAGGAAATCTCCCTAAAAACGAGATAACACAGCGGATTATTCCCAGGTGGGACCGAGAACGATTCTATGTTTGCGTGGTAGCGCCATTACCAATCGAATTTCAGCCATACACGACATCCTGACAATGCACAAGCGACCACCTGAGGTCATTACAGGCGGCGTGCTTCAACCGCCTAAGCAAATTCCGCCTGTGCTGGCTCACCCAGTCCCCCCCCCCCCCTCGTGTTTGCTTTGAAGCGCCTTCAGCTGCTGATAGCAAACTGCGCTAGAGACACGCGTCAGGGTTCCCATAGGGAAGGTCAATCAGCAATGCCCTGATTTCAATAATCAAACACAAACACAGAGGGGTTACAGTCCAACGCTTCTGAGCTGACTTGTTCTTGACGACTTGATTTGGTCAGTCACAAAAACAATGATTATACAACTTTGTAATCGACTGATCTGCCCGAAGTTGGAAATCCAACAATAATACGTCTTGCTTTTATTCATATCGGATTATATTCATATTGGATTAAATTGTCTTGATAAGATTATCACATAAAAAGTTACAAACAGGTTCAGTCTGACTGTTGCAAATTTGTTTATTTCTTTTCCCATTTTATATCGAATTGACTGTGGTAAACCAGCATTGCATTCGGAAAATTAACGCAATATAGATTAACCGTTAAATGCTTCATTTTGGTATGAAACCCACTGAGATTTGTTTAAAATATAATAAAGGCCTTTCGCGGCAAAGACAAAGAATTATAGAAAATAACGCGTAACCATGGCAACTAAGTTCGTCTAATTGTATAGTCGATACCCCGGTCATTTTGAATGGAACAGGGATCCCATGGGAACCTACGTCATGTGCATCAACCAACAATGGCGCGGGCCCTTGCAGTCTATTCCTACCTCCATGGATCGATGGATGCACTTATTTTTGGTCAGCCTGAACAAAAAGGCCACACCACACTACAGAAAGGTCACTCCAATTTGCCAATGTGCGCGCAAGAGCACATCTTGCACCGGAACACGTTATATAGAATGCGGTTGGAATATTAAAAGACAAGAGTGCGTCCATTTACCCTTTGACGCACTCGCCGAGGCGCGGATGGAAGCGTGGAGTGAAGAAAACTGAAGATTTCCAAACAGTTTTCGACTCCACAATGACAGTTTTAAAAACGAGATACTCTTTCAACAAACGTCATCCAACAATTAGCAATGGTACACGGATATCGTAATGCGTTACATTGCAAGTAGACAAAATACAAGTAAAGTTAATTTGAAACGTGACATCCAACCGACCATCGGCTCGTGATCTAATTTATAGGAAGTCACCTAAAACAACAAAGCACTATAAAAATACAGGAGCACGAAATTGGTTATAATCCCCAATGGAGAAGGAACTGATTACATCGCACAAAGTCCACCACGGCATAAAAGCTACTTCAGGACTAACCATTCTCGGTGCAAATTTGCAAAAGAACACGTACTTCTGTACGCAAAAGCAACGTGTGTCAGTAAAAGTAGAACGTGATTAATTGAAATATCAGTTATGGAATACATAATACGATTTAATCCAATACCAACATGTAGACAATACCAAGATCGATCGGGTAACATATTCCGTTCCCAAAACATAACGAGGAAAAGTCCTGCGGAAAGAAATCCGACAGGATTTCGATCGTACAATGCAGTGCATCTAAATCTGACGAGCACTGTCACTCGATCCAACCTACACACACAAACAAACAACTCCAGTGTTGTAAAGCAAGAGAATTATTTTGAGGTGTTGGGCAGACACATGGTGGCGCTGTGCATCTCAACCACAGCGCGCCATTTTTGCAGGTCTGTATACACGAATATGTTCTCTTGCTTCAGTACAATGCTCGAGTACAACCGGCAGGGGAAACGTTAGTTTGTTTACGATGAAACAATTGGCGACATTTCTTGAAGATACGCTAACATAAATGTCAAGTTAGTGTTCAGTGATCACGTGACCAGATTCGTGTCTTACCGTGAATACGCCGTTTTCGATGTCGGTCATTTCAAGGAGTGAGTAATCGGCTTCTCTATCCCCATTGGCGTCAATTGTAACATTGCCCATGATTCCTAAAAAGAAAGACAAAAGAAACAATAACCCCAAAAATGTAAGAATCATAAGAGGCCTGGAAAAAGAAGATAGTTTGACTGTTTCTTTGCTTACAAATGACAAACTTAAAAAACAAGTCCCTTTCTTCACAAAATACAGTAGTAAGTGGGAAGTACAGCCTAGTTCCTCAAGCTTCTGGCCTACTTCAGCTTCTTTTGAAGGAGACAAAGCACGTTTGGCATTGACCATTCTTATGTTTAGAAACATTTTGCGCTATTTTGAATGCGCGGCCAAAAGGGACATTTAACCGTGCATGGTTGGCAACTGACATATTTGACAAATGGCACACATTCGCCCTTAGTATTCAAGATACCGGAATCATCTTCTTGTTTTAGGTATGTCCGTACATTGTGATAACACTTATATCATTGTACATTGTGATAACACTTATATCGTGTTTTAAAACTTCTTTGTTTGCAATTGTTTGCAATTTGTAGTTGTGAATCAATGGTTAAAATGTGGTCTTGAAGATTACTGTTCTTGCATTATACCATACCTCATAACACACGTGTATATGAGGACAGGCAACGGCCTTGTGCTTCTGATATCTTAATGGTTGCTATGCACTTTGACGAATTGTGGTCAAACTGAAAGTTCGTAGGTCAGTCTGACATTGATTTCATGCTGGCCGGTATCAGACCTTAAATGGCTGTCCACAATAATCCGCGCCGCCATTTTGAGTCTGTGTTCGGACCATGCTCCCATAAGGACACGCAGTTTCGGAGTCCCAAAAGTGCATAAAAAACGAGGGTTTATCTCACGTCTACACTCTAAAAACTGTGTTTAGCAATTAAACACAGTCTTGCTATCACTTTGTAAACATGTTTAGGACTAAACATCACGTGTCCAATTCCTAAACATCAATGTTCAATGGCTAAACACTAGCCATCCTGACCCTAAACATGTTTAGTATTTAAACATGTTTACAAACTGATAGCAAGAAAATGTTTAGAAAAGTGTTTAATTGCTAAACACAGTTTTGGCAGTGTAGCAGACGTATTTTAGACCCCCATTGCAACAAAACTATTCGGTTTGCATTTCAACGTCGCCAATAGCCTTCGCACGCTGCTATTTTAAAGGGTACATGAAGTGAATCTTTCTTTGGTATATATTTGTGCAACTTTCTACTTATCTTAAATGTATGAAAACTATTTGACATCCCTTTTGGGTTAATTTGAAAAGTGCATTTTTTTCATATTTAAAATTGTCCATGCTTTTCTGTACAACTGAGGGCGCTGTTTTTGTGATGTCATTTCAGGAAGACACTGTTCAGTTTAGGAGGCTGTTCAAATCGTGAAACCAAACTTTTTCCATTGAAAACATTTGTGAGAAATGTTTGCTCCTTGGCTTACTGCCATGTTCTGACACAACAACTGATTACCAGAGAAAAGAAAATTTATGACAGCCTATAATGTCCAAACTTCTGGCAACTGTTGGTGCTGAAATACCTGTAACATTGAGGTTTCTGCTTAAAATAGCATCAGACGTTTGCTCATAAATATGGAAATTGGCATTAACATAAAAACCGAAAACTTGAGCACCAAAATACCCTTGAAATGGCAAAACGAAAATTGGAAAGAGAGTTAAATGGGACACAAACGTGCATTTTCAAGGATTCCATTAAAAAATACTTTGCGTGGGCCCTTTAATATTATTGGTTCGTCGTTTCGAGTATCGCATGGCACCATGTGGACGATAAAATTCGTAGATGCAGGTATATCATAAACATTTATTGCACATATTAATCCCACTGAAAACCTGCAAGGGAAAGTTGGACCTATTCCCAAATTCAAAAAAGCCCAAGCTATGGTCCGTTATTTGGTTTACTGTACTGCAAGGTTTCTTGCACACGCTGCGAACACTATAATACCCTAATGCAAGAACATAGATGAAGCCAGAAAAAGATAAATTAACAAATATCAAAGAAAACAAAGCGTAAAATAGATCCCATGTAGGATATTCACTGCGATCACACTGTACTTCTCGTGTAGTGATCTTTTTCTCTTAATTACAAAAAAAATACGGTACAGGATTTACATGTATATACCAGTAATTCGAAGTTCTAACAATAAAATACGATACGACGGTCAAGGTAAAGTTTTACCATCAATTTTATATCCATGGCCTTCTCGAAAACAGTCGTTTACCACCCCATAAACTTTATTACTAACATTAAACCAACTTGGAAAGTTTTTGCCAATTGCACGACTGTTTTGGAGATACGTGCTATGTTATAATAAAATAAAAATATGGAATGCATTTCGTGAAAACAAAAACACAGGAAGTGATGGGAAAAAGTTCATAAGCGTTGGAAAACCTAACTCATTCAAAACTGAAACTTACAAAAATGGGGAAAATAACCCCAAACACCCCCGGAAGTAGAAGACAGGTTCGCTAGCAACTCATTCTTCGTGTGAACATAAATAAAACAGTTTGGGCAGTTACTGCGTATTCAAAACGGGAACAAAACTAGTTTTAATACCAAAATGCATCGTTTTCCACATCATTGCCAACATATATTTTTTCTACACGTGTTTTCTGTTGTAAAAAAATACATTTTGTCACTCTCTACAGTTCTTGTTATTGTAAGAAATCGCACGTTCGTGGGACGAATATGGTAATCCTTTACCGAAGTCAACAAAAGATACTTCAAAATGATACTTCAGATGACTTGAAACGAGATGTCAAGGACTTTGGAAATACTTCAACCGCTGATCTAGCAAAATTAATAAATGAAATGCTAAAGTTCCTAAATAAATGCTATGAATGCAGGAGAAAGCATCGTAGCTTTCAGGGCCCCCGAAGGCACGCCTTCGTGTCTTCACTCAACCCCTTTCATATCACACACCCCCATTTCCTGAAAAACAGCACGGCGATTTAACATTTGTATGCCATTGTTTAAGACGAAAAAAAACACGTAACTTTTCAGTGAATAATGAATATTGTTATACCTCTGTCTTGAATACTGTATTTTCATTGGCCTAGAACGATCACGTGTTAAGTTTATAAAAAGTCATGGCGGACTCCCTGTGGGATATCAAGTACGTGATATCCCACAGGCTGTGTGCTATGACTTTGTATACGTATACGGCACGTACGGTGTCAAACGCTTGTATCGTTGGTACCCACACTATTTTCACCATGTTTTCACACATGAGTGGGAGCAGCGAACTACCAGACGATCTGCTGTTTCGAGCACGCGACATGCATGTGAGTTGCCGTTAGATTGTCATGATTGTTGTGCTTACTGCCGTTTTGTTATCGTGATTTTCACGTCAAAATCCAAATAATCCAAAACAGAGGTATAACAAAACAATGCTGTGATGTGGGATATGACGTTTTGAACACCCTCGGGGCCCATCGCCTCGAGTGCTATGCGCCCCTCGGGTGTTCAAAACGTCTTATCCCACATCACACCAGTCAACAATTGTTAAAAAGAAAAAGGGCTTCAATATAAATTATGTGCTTGGGTCTAAGCAGGGTTCCCAGCACATTATGAGTCCATTTCCAGAGTTTCCCCTTATATTTCCCTGAGAAACTCCCAAAATTCCATGAGAATTATATGTACTTCAACGAGGTTGCTAGGTATAGTCACGAGGTACATAGCCACTTGTTATTGTCTGGAGAGTCGTTTAATATTCACACTGCATAAACACTACAAAGCCAGTCAAAGGCCAAAGCTTGGACACATGGCACAAACGCCAAACCGGCAAAAACCTTTCCCTTCTGGGTCACTTTCAAATTCCCTGAATTGTTGGTGTTTTTTCCAATTTCTCTGACTTTTCCCTATCGAAAAAAAAATTGGTAACTCGTTTTCAATGTTTTCCCTGGTTTCCAGGGTAAAATAATGTATGACACAGGGCGGGGCAGGTTTACAAGGGAGCAGTTTTTACCTTCGAAAGTCCTGTTCCACATCCGGTGAGTAAGCGCCTGTCCGTCGCGAGGGTTCTCACCAGCTTCCAGGGTCTCGTTCAGTGCCAAGGCGTATAGGATGACGGCATCGTGAAAGGCCCCAACAAAGGTGTTGACCTGGGGATAAAAAACAAAGATAAACCAGTCATCGGCGGGGTTCTTGGATGGGTTTTCGGGCCATATTTCTTTGGTCTTATGTACAGTATTCTGATTTCCACATGACGTGTATATATAGCAGGCATTTTCATCCCAGAAAAAGTGATTTTCCAATCATTTTTTAGGATAACCTTTCCAAAACCTGGTTATCTTAACAAAAAGGCGGCACCCAGCTATTCCTCTTGTAGTACACATACTTTGGTACATTTTATATATTTATAACTAAATTTGATGATTAAGGTTTTTCCATGGAGGAGAAAAAAACCCTGTTATCTTCCCTTTATGGTTGTTCTATTATACGTCTTACTCTGCTTTTTATCATACAAGAGGCTCGAGGATCCTGATTTATTTTTTGATTGTTTCGTTGGGCGATAGCCTTGGAACAATGCGACTGGAAGGCAGCAATCGCGTCATGCATTGTTATGAAGCCCAATACGACAGTGTTCTCAATAATATATCGGAAGACTTTTTTTCCATTCGCAGTGACAAAACTGAGGACGAAAATAGTACCGATGGGGGCTTGCGCTTGCCTGCAAGTCGCAACTGACGATAATATCAGTTACTGCTCTGTTGTTTTTTCTACCTTTTACATTAGGCCATTTTGATTATCGCCAAAAAACATTGTGGTTTACCAAACGAAATAAATATCCCAAACGGTTAAAACATTATTTTTTAGAAGCATTTTTTTTTTTACTTCCCGATTTAGAAACGAATTACGAAACAAAATCACAGTATCGTCCGCACGGAATCCATATCAAAATGCAGGAAGCGAGTAATCTCTTATAGCGATTGAAGTCCTCGTATTTCACCACAATAACACCTATGGCTCTGAAAGGGTTCTTTCACATGTATATTTGGAAAACAAATTAGGGGGAAAGGTCTCGGTGCAAGAATTGTCACCTCTACGCAGCAAGCGTTATTAGCAACGGACGTGACCAGGGAAACAAACATTGTGAATAACTGTAGCGCGCACGACGGCAGTTTTGCACGAGCATAATACACAAGAAGTCATTGACCTCAGAATCAGACTCAACCTTGTAGCGCCTGTACTTAAGATCTTAGTCTGGTGTCTTACGCTCCCTTAATGCAAAGATCGTCACCGTTATATGGACTCGTCTCTTCTGGTGTCCGGTTGCCTACCCGTAAATTTTGCAACGATATTGTGCTCAATTCCAGACAGCAATCAGAGTTACTGGTATTTACACGGATGGTGAATATAATGTCTTTAAACATCACTCATTAGTGAAATTTCCCCTTAAAACTACATATTTTTAAATTCCAATGTGCATGGTCTAAAAGGGATACAATCTTTACAGAAACTTTATTGTCACGACTATTTGATTACGGAAGTTGCCAAAACGTTTTCTGAGGCCACTTCTATCTGTTTTTTTTTATTGTTTAATTTCGCTTGTACTTACTTGGCAGTCAATCAGCCGACAAACGTTAAGTCACAACCTATACTGTCTCGAATTGTACTATTTAGGTTTTCCCGGCTATTTTCTGTCCAATTCTAATAGGCCTATTCAAATTCGTCCAGCAAAATCGAAAGTGCACTTTCAATGTTTAATTTTGTCCTTTTTGATACAGTTTCAATTTTAGTTCAAGAAAATTAAAACTGCTCAATGAGCACAGACATTCGTCCAGGAGTATTCGATTTCGTCTCTTCTACGCCGAACCGTGTCATTCAGAAAACAAATTCGTCTTAATATGCCACACAATTTTATAACAATTTTTTTCAATTTCGTCATACTTCACTATATGACATCTTCAGTAGGAGACATACAGGCCGCTGATAACAGTATTTATCCACTTTTTTTTAGCTCCTTATTTTTTCATAACTTTGTTGTTTGTTTCTTTTGATTATCGTTTTAAAAATACGTTAGACTCAGTTTTGGGCACACACAAATGTTAGACTGGGAGCTAATGGTCATCGTAGTTTTTGACGTTTCCTTCTTTCATTTTAATTTAACACTTGTTTCATTCGTTCAGCAAGCTGTACTATCTATAAAGTATCGTATATGAGAAAGTGCAATTTCGGTGGCGCGCAGCCTCAAATAATGTCGCGCACTAGCTCGGTGACTTTTTTTTCATACAGTTGGTATCAAAACGTGCGCCAAACTTGAAGCTAGAAAGTTATGAAAGCTCACAGCGAGAAACGCGCAATTGGCGAAAATATTGCGAAAAAAAGTGCGGGGAGGGGGCGCAATCCGCCCCCGGCCCTTTTAGGGTTAAGCACACCTACTTGTTCTGAAAACATCATACGGACGAATGTGCTGAATTAATTTTGCTCGAGGACAAGGGAAATGCTTTAGCAATGACTAATTTACAAAGACTAATGCAGACTAATTTACTGAGCATACGTTTTAAATTGATTGATACCAGACGAATTCGATTTCTGAAATGCTGAGACGAATTCAATCTGAATCGACGAATTCTCTTGACCAAACACTTAAATAAGTTGACCAAACTTTGAAATTGAATGATAAATGACTAAATTGATTTGACTAAAAGCATGTAAAAATGTTCTCGGACGAATTTGAATATTGGAAGTGGTGAATTGGAATGGAAAAGTTTTAAAATAGCCGGGAGATCTATGTAACATAATTATTCAGAAGTTCACAAATTATAGAGGTCATTCCGAGAGTGACATGGCATAAAAAGTGGAGCATGGCACATAAGAGAAAAAATGGGGGCAGGTTTCTATGACCTGTCAATTCAAATCCTACACAATTCCAGTAAAGATTAAAAACAGTCCTTACAATATGAAAGTGCCTTAGAGACAGTTGTTAGCAACAAACGCTTCTCCACTTTGCAATCAAAGGGACTTTCTCCCTCTGTAGGAGGCGCACAGCGGAGGCTCAGACGTTTCACCAGCGGATCAACTGAGAAAGCTTTACTCGGGTTTCGAATGCCGATTTCAGTAGTTCCTTAGTTCGAATGTTTTTCTCAGAACATCGAAGGAAATGACGAAGCATGCAAAACAGTGAGGTCCCCAATCAAACTACAATCCCGAATATCTTTCAATGAGCAGCTTATGTAAGCCACACAGAAGGACACTCAACTCTCCAGCAAGTAAACAAGCCTGAAGACAAACATCGACGGTCGTACTCTGACTCTCTTCTGTATATTAGACATCGGAAAGGCTAACGGTCATCTGAGTCATGAAAACTTTCCGGCTTAGACAGAGACCACAATTACTTTTTTTAAAATAGGAATTATCGTAGGGATACTTTTTTACACAGACGACATAGAACTCCAGCGGATACATTTATCCTTAAAATCACTTTAGCTCTCAATCTAGATTAAGTAAAAAGTCCCATGCATGTCCTTGCTAAGACTGATAAGATTTGCATCCATGAACATGTTCGGCCTTCGATCGCCCCAGAACAGCAGGCCGAACCCCAAACTGTATCATTACCATCATCGGTAATCCCAACGGTGTATCACTTTGAATTTCAGCTATTTCCAGCGTCTCAGTTCACTGACATTTGGATACTTTCAATGTTCATGTTCTCCTTAAACTGATTTAACCTTTTGAGGGATTAGGGCATTAAGCCGATTTCGCATTCGTTTGGGCAAGTACTTCAATGTACAGCGTCATAATCAGTTTAATACCATTTATACAAATGTTTATATTAGTCACTAAAAAAGACTAGGCCTAAGGGAGATATAAAATGTCATTGAGAACTAAGCAATATTGCAACCGAGGGAGTTAAGTACACTTGTGCAGTGCCCGTTAATATGTGCCTGTTCGGAAGGGACAAATTGCTTGGCCGCTGGTAATGGTTGCTTTGATTGGTATTGGTTTGTTGATCCTCTTTTCACACACTGTTGCACTGGTTTTAAAATATAATTACTTTAAACAATTTTAAAGCTTATCAGATTGAAAAAAAAAACGTTTTGAGGAATCCCTTTTTGGATATAAGTTTTATGAATCCTAGACTATGTCCCTGCCAATACTGGCCAATCAGAATCTAGATTTCAAGCTCACGCCTCCAACACTGACCAATCACAATCGTTCCCTTGTGCTTGATGACTGATACCTTTAAAGAAATATCAAGCTAATGTCTTTTTTCCTTCTAAAGTTAAAATTTGAATTTTATTTACAACTATTATGCGCCTATCAATTGTTTCCCCCACCCCTCCCCCGGGCTGCCCCAACTAATACGTGGGGATTGTCACTATTGAGGTGACAAAATCCCCACCCTCGGGCAAAATCTAAGTGACAGTCCCCGACCATGCCCCGACATACATACGTGGGGCGCACTAGTGATTGCCTTTCCATGTAGTACGACAATGTTACCAATGTAATTTGAGTGACCAAAATCCAGACCCTTGGGCATGAAGAACGTGACCAAATCCCGGCATCGGACCTGGCAGTGGGGGGGGGGGGGGACATTTGAAAGGCGCATTACATTTCTTATATGTTGTGCAATAATACGTGAATTGATGCCTCATTTAATTTTGGAAAACAATTATATAGAAACTGCATTGCTTGCTCATCATCCATATCCACGAAGCACTGCGAATATCGACAGGTTATTCCCGCATTCTTTGTTACCAAGGTCAGCGATCCGGGGGGGGGGGGGGGGGATTGGGGAGGGGATATGTCCCCGAAGCAAGAAAAGTATAGTTATTTTCAAATTGGTTTACAGAAATATCGACTGGAAACATGATGCTTTGACTGTTTAAAGTTAAAATTCAAAACAAATATTAGATAGGACGAGTGTATCATATTCACCGGAGTCACTTAAAAAAATAAATCGAAACAATATCCAAGTTACCACGCCAGACGGCAGTAAGGCCATCAGCCTCGGTCCAAAAGCTTGGCCACCGGTATCAAATGAGTTGAATAATCGTCACAGCCATTTTTGGGAAGGTATACACCTCCAGAGTTGGAAAATAGGTGACAGCATTGCAGCGGTGGCAGCTTTTTGGGTGTTATCACCTATTCTTTCAAA